CCAAAATACATCCCATACCTAGTTAAAAGTGAGAAGGACCCTGAGAAGGAGGGTTCCCCTGGAGTAACACAGTCAGTTCAACAAGGGGGAAAGCAAGTGGAAATAAAAATAGCCTCAGAGCCGCTGTACTCATTAACCAACCCGAGCTTGGTGACCAGGGGACCTAGCAACCAGTGACAAACTTTGCATGAAGCAGGAGAAGATGCCGAATGACTTCGTTTCTGATTCACTTTGTGTTGCTCTAATCAGCCTTCATCTGCTGAATCTGTTCCTTGAAGAATCCAGTGAAAGAGATTGAGAGCATAAGAAGTGGGCCCCGTTTTGATCATATTTAATACAATCTTCACATTATATTAGAGGACCGTGCTAATGTTTTCTTTTTTCATGTTTCCGTCAAATAAAATGTGCTTTACAGAAAAAAATCCATCGCAGTGAATTTAATTACATTCAACATTTTTGCTGAGATGTATGCAGTTAAAAGCATCAGCTATATCAAAGGAATAGTTTGACATTTTGAGAAAAAACAGGCTTTCATACCGGGAGTTAAAAGATGCATGCCCAAGCACTATATCTGATGATAAAGCCAAGAGACATTTAGCTCAGTATAGCAAGTGGCGCAGTTGAAAAGTGATCAATATACACAATAATATACACAAAAGACTGAGGTGACTCGTGTTGTTACTCTGATGTTGCAAGGGGTAAGCTTGTTTTCCATGAAAAGACTTGCAAGCAAACCTCCAAGGCTGAAAACCAAAGCCACCTTGGAAATGCCAGATCTGCAGTTCCTCATCATCCCAGAAGTATAGAGTTCCCACTGGTTCATGAATTCCATCATTTTATTAGTAAATTACTAATTAGCATGTATCTGCGTCTGCAATTCACGCACCTTGCTAAGGCTTTAGCCACACAGACCTAGAGGCAACCTCTCGTTGCTGGGTAAAATTGTTCACAAAGAGGGTACTGCACCCAAAAAATCTTTTTGATTACTTTGGTCACCAGCAGACTGCTGTGGTCACATGTAGGTTGCATGGAAGACGCTAACTTTTGTGCAAACACTTGCAATCTACTCTCAGAGCAGTAGTGAAACTTGAAAAAGTGCAATGGAAACAGAAAGCGGAGAAAGTTTGCCTTCAAAGTAAAAGCTGTGCCGTACCACTGCAACCATCACAGCAGACTCTTTTTCTGTGTCACATACATCTCTGGGACCAGTTTTGTGCTAGTGACTGCAAGCAACCTTCAACTACTTGCAACTACTCAGGGAGTACACATTACTCTGTGGGCAGGACTCTAGGCCCGAGGCCAAGCGTGCTAACTTAAAAATCATCAATTTGGTTTAAATATTGACACTGTTTCTCTAAAAATTTAAGATAGAAGCAATCAAATGCTAGAATGGAGGCGTCAAAACAGGATTGAACAAACCAATAGGTGACATCATCCATCTTTTATATACAGTCACAATGTTTTCATATCTAATGAAAAGATGTGAGCTATGAACAGATCTGTAAGGAACCAAGTATTACTGAAAATGTGAAGTCACTTTTTTAGATCTTTTCTTGTTGGTGCATTAAAGTGCTTGTTGGAAATTTGAGCCTCTGATCTATCAGAGTCTGATGGAGAACAGGAGCTTTTTTACACACTGATATTACATTCATGTTTTTCGGGTAGCTTGAGAAAAAACTTTGTTCTGCAGTCGACTCAAGGAAACCACACATCAGAACTGCTGGACACTCAGTCCCTAGTATTTACAGCAAAAGAAATAACGAAAAGAAAGAAGACTATAAAATGCTTACGGTGATAGATTACCAATTAAGCCAGTTTAAAGGCCATGTGATTTTTCAGACAGAAACTGTGAAAAATTGCTTCTTGGAGGGCAAAAAATCTGTCAGAAAAACTTTTGAGGTTAAAAGATTAAGCATGCGGTTTATAACCAAAGCCTGCAACACAATCCTTCGGGCTACAGAGAGGGCTGCAGCCTGCCCTGCTCATGTCCGGCTTTGCGTCTAGCAGCCCGAGGGTGAATGAGTCGAACAGGAAATTATATTAGGCTGTTGGATACCTATAACAGATTGCAGGTTTTCAAAGGTGACTCAGGTAATTTTTTGATTATAATTCATCCAATTTAATAATTCTTTTACAAGACATCAACATGGCGTTTAGTATGTCGTGTTTTAGCTGTGCACAGATGGTTTGAATCAGCATTTAGAAGATAATCTTTACAGACTGTCTGCTTAAAGGAGACCTATCTGGGGGGCCTTTTGTATCCATTCCACGTGACAAACCTTCTGCCTCTGCTGCTTCTCTACACAAACACATGGGTCAGTCCTCCTGATGTGCTGGAATAAATGAACCTGACTCATGCTATGAAGGACTACTTCTCGCCTCCACAGCTTCAAACAACAAGCTCAACGTGCCTCAGTCACCATGGCGACCAGGCTTCCTTGTCAGGAGCCAGGACCAGAGGAGAGCAGCAGGAAGCTCTGCTGGAGATGCCAAGTGATCTGAGGCAGCCTCGTTTTAAAATCAGATTCAATTGATTTAATGTTTTCTGCTCTTTTTACAGCTTTTATTGTGAACCTCATGTGCTTAAATAAGCTGTATTATTCAGGCTATATCACTAGTTGCTCAAATGGACACCATGTTTTATGCAGCTATCAGCATTTATAAGCACAGACATCAAAAACTTCAGCATCACCAAGAGCGTAGCGGGACAGAATTGTGTCTCATTCAGCCACAGCTGCGGGGTGAATGTCCATGCCAGAGTTAACACAGTTCCTGGAGATGACCTCAAGAAAACAAGCTTCATCTCAAATGATCCTTTCTCTCCTCTTTTAGCTGTGCTTTGTATCTACACGAGTGAGCTACGCTGCCCTCCAGGGGACAATAGGAAATAAGAGAACGCACGAAACTTCGTTTTCTTGCATCACTGACTCTGTGGGAAACTCCTATGATTGAAGAGGTACCCCTGAGTAAGCGAGAAGCACATTCACATGTGAGATCAGCGTGGAAAGCACGAGAAAAATCTGACATCTGCGTTGGAGAAATGTGTTTCTCCAACATTAAGATTCAGCGTACGATGCATGCAGACACCGAGCTGACAGGCGGGATCAAATCAGCACTGACATGCATTAAAATTCCTCTGTGTTGGAGGTGTGAATCTGTCCAGTGTCCCTTAAGATCCATCCGTCTTTGAAAATTCATCCACTGAGAGAACACAGTTCATTTTTCATGTGCATCGTGCCGCACACCACTGCAAAGTCTTTGCCGTTAAAACGAAAATCATGCCTCCTATAGGCAAGAAAACACTGCAGCAGCGACGGCACTTGTAATAGCCGAGTTTCTGAGAATCACTGTAGTTTAGCCAGTGGTGAGGGTTTAGTGTCCCTATTCTCTTCTATTGCAGATCCTTAGGAGAGTATGACTATGTGGTGTTTATTGTGTCATTTTTTATTTACAGTTTCAGGAGATTACAGGAGGCAAGAATGTCACATCAAGGTTGCGAGTTGAATGTAA